CTCTGCATGGAGAGATGATGGAAAGTGGTTAGTACTCTGCACGGAGAGATGATGGAAAGTGGTTAGTACTCTGCACGGAGAGATGATGGAAAGTGTTAGTACTCTGCACGGAGAGATGATGGAAAGTGTTAGTACTCTGCACGGAGAGATGATGGAAAGTGGTTAGTACTCTGCACGGATAGATGATGGAAAGTGGTTAGTACTCTGCACGGAGAGATGATGGAAAGTGTTAGTACTCTACACGGAGAGATGATGGAAAGTGGTTAGTACTCTACATGAAGGGATGGTAAACGTAGCTTAGTGATTTACAAGGGTATACCATCCCCTTCAAATTACCTAGCTACTATATGGCCCCTACGGGTTTTGTGCTTCTCTGTGTTGATAATGATTATGATAATTTATCTGGTTACAATATGTAATATAAAGAGCGTGTATTGTGTACACTATGTTACAGTGGAGCGGCATCTACGGTACTACTGTTACCATCAGTAAGATGCCTTGGTAACATAAGAACATAAGAAAGGATTTGTAGATGAATGGTTCAGAGAACCGACATGATGATAAATTAGATACATGTGCAACTCTTGGGTATCTTTATTGAGGAAACGTTTCGCCACACAGTGGCTTCATCAGTCCATATGTAGGAGAAACTTGAAGAACAGGAGGAGAATGAGGTAATCAGTCCCTCAACCTTGAGTCGATGTGTTCAGTCCATTGATGGACTGAACACATCGACTCCAGGCCGAGGGACTGATTACCTCATACTCCTCCTCTCCTTACGCCTTCCTCTTTGTATTGGACTGATGAAGCCACTGTGTGGCGAAACGTTTCCTGAATAAAGATTCCCATATGCTGCATAAGTGTCTCGATCTTCAACTTTCCTATGTCCTTTCTAAATCTAAACTTGTCTAATTTAAATCCATTACTGCGGGTTCTGTCTTGGAGAGATATCCTCAAGACCTTATTAATATCCCCTTTATTAATACCTATCTTCCACTTATACACTTAAGAACATAAGAACATAAGAAAGGAGGAACACTGCAGCAGGCCTGTTGGCCCATACTAGGCAGGTCCTTTACAATTCATCCCACTAACAAAACATTTGCCCAACCCAATTTTCAATGCCACCCAAGAAATAAGCTCTGATGTGCAAGTCCCACTCAAATCCAACCCCTCCCACTCATGTACTTATCCAACCTAAATTTGAAACTACCCAAAGTCCTAGCCTCAATAACCCAACAACCTGTCGGTATTTTATACCACTTTAATGTCCAACTAGGTAGACTGTTCCACTCATCAACTACCCTATTTCCAAACCAATACTTTCCTATGTCCTTTCTAAATCTAAACTTATCTAATTTAAATCCATTACTGCGGGTTCTCTCTTGGAGAGATATCCTCAAGACCTTGTTAATATCCCCTTTATTAATACCTATCTTCCACTTATACACTTCGATCAGGTCTCCCCTCATTCTTCGTCTGACAAGTGAATGTAACTTAAGAGTCTTCAATCTTTCTTCATAAGGAAGATTTCTAATGCTATGTATTAATTTAGTCATCCTACGCTGAATGTTTTCTAACGAATTTATGTCCATTCTGTAATATGGAGACCAGAATTGAACTGCATAATCTAGGTGAGGCCTTACTAATGATGTATAAAGCTGCAGTATGACCTCTGGACTTCTGATGCTTGCACTTCTTGATATAAATCCCAGTAATCTATTTGCCTTATTACGTACGCTTAGGCACTGCTGTCTTGGTTTAAGGTTGCTGCTTACCATAACCCCCAAGTCCTTTTCGCAATCTGTATGGTTAAGTTCTACATCATTTAACTTTTTTTTTTCCAACAAGTCGGCCGTCTCCCACCGAGGCAGGGTGACCCAAAAAAGAAATAAAATCCCCAAAAAGAAAATACTTTAATCATCATTCAACACTTTCACCACACTCGCACATTATCACTGTTTTTGCAGAGGTGCTCAGAATACAACAGTTTAGAAGCATACACATAAAGATACACAACATATCCCTCCAAACTGCCAATATCCCAAACCCCTCCTGGTGGCCTGGTGGTTAACGCTCTCGCTTCACACGGTGAGGGTCTGGGTTCGATTCCCAGCCAGAGTAGAAGCATTGGACGTGTTTCTTTCCACCTGTTGTCTATGTTTCCCATCAGTAAAATGGGTACCTGGGTGTTAGTCGACTGGTGTGGGTCGCATCCTGGGACACTGACCTAAGGAGGCCTGGTCACAGACCGGGCCGCGGGGGCGTTGACCCCCGGAACTCTCTCCAGATAAACTCCAGATAAAGTGCAGGCATTGTACTTCCCATTTCCAGGACTCAAGTCCGACTATATGAAAATAACCGGTTTCCCTGAATCCCTTCACTAAATATTACCCTGCTCACACTCCAACAGATCGACAGGTCCCAAGTATCATTCGTCTCCATTCACTCCTATCTAACACGCTCATGCACGCTTGCTGGAAGTCCAAGCTCCTCGCCCACAAAACCTCCTTTACCCCCTCTTTCCAACCCTTTCGAGGACGACCCCTACCCCTCCTTCCTTCCTCTATAGATTTATATGCTTTCCATGTCATTTTACTTTGATCCATTCTCTCTAAATGACCAAACCACCTCAACAACCCCTCTTCTGCCCTCTGACTAATGCTTTTATTAACTCCACACCTTCTCCTAATTTCCACACTCCGAATTTTCTGCATAATATTTACACCACACATTGCCTTAGACAGGACATCTCCACTGCCTCCAACCGTCTCCTCGCTGCTGCATTTACCACCCAAGCTTCACATCCATATAAGAGTGTTGGTACTACTATACTTTCATACATTCCCTTCTTTGCCTCCATAGATAACGTTTTTTGACTCCACATATACCTCAACGCACCACTCACCTTTTTTCCCTCATCAATTCTATGATTAACCTCATCCTTCATAAATCCATCCGCCGACACGTCAACTCCCAAGTATCTGAAAACATTCACTTCTTCCATACTCCTCCTCCCCAATTTGATATCCAATTTTTCTTTATCTAAATCATTTGATACCCTCATCACCTTACTCTTTTCTATGTTCACTTTCAACTTTCTACCTTTACACACATTCTCAAACTCATCTACTAACCTTTGCAATTTTTCTTTAGAATCTCCCATAAGCACAGTATCATCAGCAAAAAGTAACTGTGTCAATTCCCATTTTGAATTTGATTCCCCATAATTTAATCCCACCCCTCTCCCGAACACCCTAGCATTTACTTTACAACCCCATCTATAAATATATTAAACAACCATGGTGACATTACACATCCCTGTCTAAGACCTACTTTTACCGGGAAGTATTCTCCCTCTCTTCTACACACCCTAACCTGAGCCTCACTATCCTCATAAAAGCTCTTTACAGCATTTAGTAACTTACCACCTATTCCATATACTTGCAACATCTGCCACATTGCTCCTCTATCCACTCTATCAAATGCCTTTTCTAAATCCATAAATGCAATAAAAACTCCCCTACCTTTATCTAAATACTGTTCACATATATGCTTCAATGTAAACACTTGATCTACACATCCCCTACCCACTCTGAAACCTCCTTGCTCATCCGCAATCCTACATTCTGTCTTACCTCTAATTCTTTCAATTATAACCCTACCGTATACTTTTCCTGGTATACTCAGTAAACTTATTCCTCTATAATATTTACAATCTCTTTTGTCCCCTTTCCCTTTATATAAAGGGACTATACATGCTCTCCGCCAATCCCTAGGTACCTTCCCCTCTTTCATACATTTATTAAACAAAAGTACCAACCACTCCAACACTATATCATTTAACTTATAAGTATTAAAATGGTATAAAATACCGACAGATTGTTAGGTAAGACACATATGCAACAGTTAGGTATCTTTATTTCGAAACGTTTCGCCTACACAGTAGGCTTCTTCAGTCGAGTACAGAAAAGTTGATAGAAGTAGAAGAGACTTGAAGACGATGTAATCAGTCCATCACCCTTAAAGTTTTGAGGTGGTCAGTCCCTCAGTCTGGAGAAGAGCATTGTTTCAAACTTTGGAACAATGCTCTTCTCCAGACTGAGGGACTGACCACCTCAAAACTTTAAGGGTGATGGACTGATTACATCGTCTTCAAGTCTCTTCTACTTCTATCAACTTTTCTGTACTCGACTGAAGAAGCCTACTGTGTAGGCGAAACGTTTCGAAATAAAGATACCTAACTGTTGCATATGTGTCTTACCTAACAACTTATAAGTACTAGGGTTATGGGCACTCCCAAGCTTCAGAACCTTGCATTTATCTACATTGAACTGCATCTGCCACTTTTCTGACCAAGAATAGAGTTTGTTTAAATCCTCCTGAAGTTCCATAACATCTACGATTGAATCAATTATCCTACCTATCTTTGTGTCATCGGCGAATTTGCTCATATCACTAGTAATTCCCTCATCAAGATCATTGATATATATTATAAACAACAACGGGCCCAAGACTGATCCCTGTGGAACGCCACTTGTTACAGATCCCCACTCGGATTTAACCCCATTTATGGACACTCCCCTCATTCTTCGTCTAACAAGTGAATGTAATTTAAGAGTCTTCACTCTCTCTTCATAAGGAAGATTTCTAATGCTATGTATTAATTTAGTCTTTCTACGCTGAATGTTTTCTAACGAATTTATGTCCATTCTGTAATATGGAGACCAGAACTGAGCTGCATAATCTAGGTGAGGCCTTACTAATGATGTATAAAGCTGTAATATAACCTCTGAACTTCTGTTGCTTACACTTCTTGATATAAATCCCAGTAATCTGTTTGCCTTATTACGTACGCTTAGGCACTGCTGTCTTGGTTTTAGGTTGCTGCTTATCATAACCCCCAAGTCCTTTTCGCAATCTGTATGCCTCTCAAATGCCCTTGATTGAAAGAATTTGAGCCATATTTCATTAATATGGCTCAGATAAGAAATCCCTGGCACTGTCAAAGATTTATTTGTACATGATACAATGTTTACAGAGGTGGGTGACAGTTGGTTGCGTGTGCAGATAGCCAATGGTTGACTCACGAAATCGTAATGACACGATTGCAAAAAAACCATACCACGGGTGGGGTTTGAAGCCGCGGTCAGAGAGTTCAAACCCCACCTGTGGTATGGTTATGCAGAACACTTCGGGTTATACTGCTTCATGGTGATTATAAAAGCTGAAAACCTCCCTAGCTGCTTTTCTTCTTTATGCCTTCGTGGGAGACTACAAGCGAGCCCTTGAAGACTTCGTTGTTGTAGCTCCAGTTCTCGAAGCCAGGGATGCTGAGGGTCTCCCCTAGGGCCAGTTCATGGGTCCTGGGGGGAGAGTAGCAACCAGCCTCCTCACCAAACTGATACTGAGTTCTCCAGTAGATGGCCAGCGCTGTGTGGTTAATCTCCATTGGTACCTGCAACATAGATGAGGAGGATTAGAAAGGTATGGGGTATTGGAGAAGATGTGGGGATGTTGGAGAGGATGTGGGGATGCTGAAGAAGATGTGGGGATGTTGAAGAAGATGCGTGGATGTTGGAAAGGATATGAGAGTGTTGGAGAAGATGTGGGAATCACGGAAAGGATTAGGGAAAGTTAAGAGAGTGCATGAGAGATGGAAAGAGAGTAAAGGTGCTAGAGAGGGTCTGCGGGTGTTGAAGAAAGTGGCGGAGTGTTGGGCAAATTAGCAGTGTTGGGAGAGTGAAGAGAAAGGTGGTGATGGAGGGCTTGCAATGATAACTTTCCTAGCCTGTACCTTGTACTTCCCTAGCCTGTACCTTGTACTTCCCTAGCCTGTACCATGTGCTTCCCTAGCCTGTACCTTGTACTTCCCTAGCCTGTACCTTGTACTTCCTAGCCATGTCGTATCCGAGTTGGAGATCCTTGTTCTGGAGAGCCATGGTGAAGCCTGGGTGGTAGGAACCCTGGAAGATCAGAGGTGGTCCGGTCTCCCACACGAAGCTGTTGCCTGCACTCAGACGGATGCCCTCCCAGAAGGTTTTCAAGTCCAAATTGGCTCGTTTAGCTGTAGAGAAAATTTGGCTATAATTTCTCTTTAATATAGACAAAAGCCATGTTCGTTCTTCCTGTAGCTGACACGAAAAACGAACATTATATAAACATTATTGCTGCTACTGCTTTGAACTTTTATATAGCGACTAAAATTATCATAAAAGAGAATTGAAATACAGTTACTGAAGCACCGTACGATAAAATATAACCTCTGTCATCGTATGTTAATATAGCAAGCTTAAACACCCTGTCACACCATAAAATATACCGTATTTTCCGGCATATAAGACGCGTCTTTTTCTCAGTCTTGGAAAATCAGCCTGCGCCTTATATGCTCAAGATCAGGATCACGGGTAGGCTTTGTGTGACGCTTTAGCATAAAATAAGAAGGTAATTAACCACTGAATATAATTACTGATTTACCGTTACGATACTTCCGTCGTGCGCCCTATATGCCGGAAAATATTGTATCTTCCACCATTCCATGGTAATATAGCACCATAACAGAGTCGCAACCAGGGGCGGATCTTCTAGGAAACTAATGAAGCTTAAGTTTGAGGGCCCCTAATCCCTGAGGGGCCCCAGATATGACTTTAGTCCACATTTTTTGGGTCTATTGTATGAGAAGGAGTTGCGAATGGGCCCCCAAAACAGCTCAAGCTACAACGCCCCAACAATGTAGGTCCCCCACTGGTCGCAACACAGAACCACCAACATACCGAGAAGGAGGACCTCGCCCATGGCTATAGCATGGACACAGGCCAGCATGTTGGAAACCACCTTCACCAACATAGCCGACCCGATCTCGCCAACATAGAAGACCTCGCTGTATGAGGCCTGAGGATGGAAGCGAGGGAGAAGCAAGGGGAGAGCGAACGGAATGATTATTGTTATTATTATTATTATTATCATAGTCATTAAAATTTTGATTATCAGCGCAATACGAATGTTCTCAGAATGCAACTATGATATAGAATAGTGTAGCAGCATATCGTGTTAACTATCATACACAATAGTATAACCACGATATAATTCATATAGAATAGTGTACCAGAACACTATATATGTTTCTATCTTTATTAATAACCAAAGAGGAAAGCTTTACCTTTAGCAAGGGTTCCATGGCGTCAGACACAGTCTTCTCCCCACCAATATGTACCACCATCTGCCCCTTCTTCAACGCCTCCAGTCCTCCTGTGATGGGCGCCTCCAGTACGTGGGCTCCAGCCTTCTGCGCCTCCACACTGTATCTCTGATATCATATGTATTTCAGGATGATTACCAGATGTGTTATCATCAGGGTCAAAGATGTTATCATCAGGGGTCAAGGATGTTATCATCACACTTCAAGTCATCCCCTGGTCTAGCCACACTCCAGGCCTCACCCTGGTCTAGCCACACTCCAGGCCTCACCCTGGTCTAGCCACACTCCAGGCCTCACCCTGGTCTAGCCACACTCCAGGCCTCACCCTGGTCTAGCCACACTCCAGGCCTCACCCTGGTCTAGCCACACTCCAGGCCTCACCCTGGTCTAGCCACACTCTAGGCCTCACCCTGGTCTAGCCACACTCCAGGCCTCACCCTGGTCTAGCCACACTCCAGGCCTCACCCTAGTCTAGCCACACTCCAGGCCTCACCCTGGTCTAGCCACACTCCAGGCCTCACCCTGGTCTAGCCACACTCCAGGCCTCACCCTGGTCTAGCCACACTCTAGGCCTCACCCTGGTCTAGCCCACTCCAGGCCTCACCCTGGTCTAGCCACACTCTAGGCCTCACCCTGGTCTAGCCACACTCTAGGCCTCACCCTGGTCTAGCCACACTCCAGGTCTCACCCTGGTCTAGCCCACTCCAGGTCTCACCCTGGTCTAGCCACACTCTAGGCCTCACCCTGGTCTAGCCACACTCCAGGTCTCACCCTGGTCTAGCCCACTCCAGGCCTCACCCTGGTCTAGCCACACTCTAGGCCTCACCCTGGTCTAGCCACACTCTAGGCCTCACCCTGGTCTAGCCACACTCTAGGCCTCACCCTGGTCTAGCCACACTCCAGGTCTCACCCTGGTCTAGCCCACTCCAGGCCTCACCCTGGTCTAGCCACACTCTAGGCCTCACCCTGGTCTAGCCACACTCCAGGTCTCACCCTGGTCTAGCCCACTCCAGGTCTCACCCTGGTCTAGCCACACTCTAGGCCTCACCCTGGTCTAGCCACACTCCAGGTCTCACCCTGGTCTAGCGCACTCCAGGCCTCACCCTGGTCTAGCCACACTCTAGGCCTCACCCTGGTCTAGCCACACTCTAGGCCTCACCCTGGTCTAGCCACACTCTAGGCCTCACCCTGGTCTAGCCACACTCCAGGTCTCACCCTGGTCTAGCCCACTCCAGGTCTCACCCTGGTCTAGCCCACTCTAGGCCTCACCCTGGTCTAGCCACACTCCAGGTCTCACCCTGGTCTAGCCCACTCCAGGTCTCACCCTGGTCTAGCCCACTCTAGGCCTCACCCTGGTCTAGCCACACTCCAGGCCTCACCCTGGTCTAGCCCACTCCAGGCCTCACCCTGGTCTAGCCACACTCCAGGCCTCACCCTGGTCTAGCCCACTCCAGGCCTCACCCTGGTCTAACCACACTCTAGGCCTCACCCTGGTCTAGCCCACTCCAGACCTCACCCTGGTCTAGCCACACTCTAGGCCTCACCCTGGTCTAGCCACACTCTAGGCCTCACCCTGGTCTAGCCACACTCCAGGTCTCACCCTGGTCTAGCCCACTCCAGGCCTCACCCTGGTCTAGCCACACTCCAGGCCTCACCCTGGTCTAGCCACACCCTAGGTTTCACCCTAGCCAAGCCACACTCCAGGCTTCACCCTAGCCTAGCCACACTCCAGGCCTCACCCTGGTCTAGCCACACTCCAGACCTCACCCTGTTCTAGCCACACTCTAGGCCTCACCCTGATCTAGCCACACTCCAGACCTCACCCTGGTCTAGCCACACTCCAAGCCTCACCTTGGTCTGGCCAGAATCGGTGGTGGAGTGGTCTATCCACACCTTGCCCTCGGTCAGTCCAGCCAGGATACCGTCAGCGCCTTCTGCAGCATCACTCACGTTGGCGGGTTTAGGAAGAGCTACAGACCAAGGTTCAGAGATCAGTCCCAGGATGCTTATATGAACTTACTGAAGAACAGTCAAAACACTAGTAGTAAATATACGTAGACATAACAAAATCTTAACCTAGGTTGCCGATAATTTACGATCTTTCTGGCTATATTTTGCTTACCATTATAATTAAAATATTTCGACTAGAAATCTATTATTTTAGAGTCATATTACCCAATCTCTTAAATTTTACTGTACTTTTCAAAACTTTTTAAAGCGGCCTAAGCCAGGATTTCAATCTGAGATTAGATTTTGCCACCGAAGTGGCTAGTTTATTGTGCACCCCATATCCATCCTGTGGACGGTAGCGCAAGAGCATATGGATACACAAAAGGCCCAGGAACTAGGCCCCAGAAAGGTTAACAGGTGTACATTTGGATTTATATCTACATATCTACGGTTCACTTATCTGTTACAATCAAATTTAGGAAATTTGCTTAATATATCTGGTATCTTATTTTCATTAATAAGATATCTTGACATGTCACATAGGTTATTATACTGTCTGTCTCTGTATTCCTCAATAAGTGGACAATTAAGCACATAGTGTTCAAGACAGTGACCATATGCCTGACCACATAATTTGCATTTAGTTTGATCATCATCTGTGTGTCTCCCAAACTGCTAGAAGTACTTGTAACCAAGCCTAAGCCTGGCCACTACAACATCAGTCAGTACTTGTAACCAAGCCTAAGTTACCTGGCCACTACAACATCAATCAGTACTTGTAACCAAGCCTAAGCCTGGCCACTACAACATCAGTCAGTACTTGTAACCAAGCCTAAGTCTGGCCACTACAACATCAGTCAGTACTTGTAACCAAGCCTAAGCCTGGCCACTACAACATCAGTCAATACTTGTAACCTAGCCTAAGTCTGGCCACTACAACATCAGTCAGTACTTGTAATCAAGCCTAAGTCTGGCCACTACAACATCAGTCATTACTTGTAACCAAGCCTAAGCCTGGCCACTACAACATCAGTCAATACTTGTAACCAAGCCTAAGTCTGGCCACTACAACATCAGTCATTACTTGTAACCAAGCCTAAGCCTGGCCACTACAACATCAGTCATTACTTGTAAACAAGCCTAAGCCTGGCCACTACAACATCAGTCAGTACTTGTAACCAAGCCTAAGTTACCTGGCCACTACAACATCAATCAGTACTTGTAACCAAGCCTAAGCCTGGCCACTACAACATCAGTCAGTACTTGTAACCAAGCCTAAGTCTGGCCACTACAACATCAGTCATTACTTGTAACCAAGCCTAAGCCTGGCCACTACAACATCAGTCAATACTTGTAACCTAGCCTAAGTCTGGCCACTACAACATCAGTCAGTACTTGTAATCAAGCCTAAGTCTGGCCACTACAACATCAGTCATTACTTGTAACCAAGCCTAAGCCTGGCCACTACAACATCAGTCAATACTTGTAACCAAGCCTAAGTCTGGCCACTACAACATCAGTCATTACTTGTAACCAAGCCTAAGCCTGGCCACTACAACATCAGTCAATACTTGTAACCTAGCCTAAGTCTGGCCACTACAACATCAGTCAGTACTTGTAATCAAGCCTAAGTCTGGCCACTACAACATCAGTCAGTACTTGTAACCAAGCCTAAGTCTGGTCACTACAACATCAGTAAGTACTTGTAATCAAGCCTAAGTCTGGCCACTACAACATCAGTCAGTACTTGTAATCAAGCCTAAGTCTGGCCACTACAACATCAGTCAATACTTGTAACCAAGCCTAAGTCTGGCCACTACAACATCAGTCAGTACTTGTAATCAAGCCTAAGTCTGGCCACTACAACATCAGTCAGTACTTGTAATCAAGCCTAAGTCTGGCCACTACAACATCAATCAGTACTTGTAACCAAGCCTAAGTCTGGCCACTACAACATCAGTCAGTACTTGTAATCAAGCCTAAGTCTGGCCACTACAACATCAGTCAGTACTTGTAACCAAGCCTAAGTCTGGCCACTACAACATCAGTCAGTACTTGTAATCAAGCCTAAGTCTGGCCACTACAACATCAATCAGTACTTGTAACCAAGCCTAAGTCTGGCCACTACAACATCAGTCAGTACTTGTAACCAAGCCTAAGTCTGGCCACTACAACATCAGTCAGTACTTGTAACCAAGCCTAAGTCTGGCCACTACAACATCAGTCAGTACTTGTAATCAAGCCTAAGTCTGGCCAACTACAACATCAATCAGTACTTGTAACCAAGCCTAAGTCTGGCCACTACAACATCAGTCAGTACTTGTAACCAAGCCTAAGTCTGGCCACTACAACATCAGTCAGTACTTGTAACCAAGCCTAAGTCTGGCCACTACAACATCAGTCAGTACTTGTAACCAAGCCAAAGTCTGGCCACTACAACATCAGTCAGTACTTGTAATCAAGCCTAAGTCTGGCCACTACAACATCAGTCAGTACTTGTAACCAAGCCTAAGTCTGGCCACTACAACATCAGTCAGTACTTGTAACCAAGCCTAAGTGTGGCCACTACAACATCAGTCAGTACTTGTAACCAAGCCTAAGTCTGGCCACTACAACATCAGTCAGTACTTGTAATCAAGCCTAAGTCTGGCCACTACAACATCAGTCAGTCTGTTCACATTGCAAGTTCCTCCATAGACACACCTATCTACGTTCATGTTATCATAGTGGGTTATAGATCTACTCAGAGCAAAAATATTAGTAACATTATTATTATTATTATTATTATTATTATTATTATTATTATTATTATTATTTTTATTATTATTATTATTAATAGACAGTACACAGTAGCTAACGTACAGTACACAGCAGTTAACGTACAGTACACAGTAGTTAACGTACAGTACACAATAGTTAACGCACAGTACACAGTAGGTAACATACAATACACAGTAGTTAGCATAAAATACACAGTAGTTAACACACAATACACAGTAAACATAAAATACACATTAGTTAACACAGTAGTTAACGTACAATACACATTAGTTAACACTCAGTAGTTAACATGCAATACACAGTAGTTAACACACAGTAGTAAACACAGTAGTTAACATACAATACACAGTAGTTAACACACAGTAGTTAATATACACATTAGTTAACACACAGTAGTTAATATACACATTAGTTAACACACAGTAGTTAACATACAATACACAGTAGTTAACACAGTAATTAGCATACAATACACAGTAGTTAACATACAATACACGGTAGTTAACACAGTAATTAGCATACAATACACAGTAGTTAACATACAGTACGCAGTAGTTAACAGTAGTTAACACAGGCTACAGCACCAACATGGGCCACAGTTACGTAGCCTCATTATGCTGGATCATAAGTGTTGTACAACAGTGCCCCTCAAGGAAGGTTCCTTGATGCTGGTGAGGGGCTCTTGATCTAGGGAACTGGATCTGTGCTCCAGTTCCCTGAATTAAGCCTGAATACCTTCCATCCCCCCCCCCAAGCACTGTATAATCCTATGGGTTTAGTGCTTCCCCCTTGATTATGATGATGATGTACAACAGTGCACTCAGACAAGGATGGTGTGTCGTGTTTACCTTCAGTAAGCATGGTATATTTGCTATGCTCAGTCATGGACCTTATGTAATTGAGTTACAGCTCCTTTGTTACACACTGGAGGTCGACTAGTAACTATGTACGTTTATTCAGAGGCAGGTACACGTAAATACAGCTACATAGATTATCATACATAGCAGCATATGTGTAGATTACGTAGGATAACCCAAAAAGGTCAGAGAATGTGTTTTATTTCCATTGGTGTCCTTGTAACATCTTACTGTTTAAATCTTAACAGTTAGAAAATGCTAAGTAACTCAACTAAGTGAAAAGCAGTTAGAAGATGAGGAGATATACTAGGAATAAGGTAAACTGAGTTATTTACATTAACATTAAAGAGAGGATCAGATCACAGTAATAGATTAATTAATATTACAATAATCGGTACATGTATGTTAGCTATACAAGAAATCACTCTCCTATCTTTCATTAGGCACCTTTTAGCTCTCTTCCTAAACTGGTTCATGCTATGACTGGCTTTGACATGTGCAGGCAGTCCGTTCTACTCTCTTATTGCTGTGCAATAAAAGGGTTTGAAGCCTGACCACCTACTGTGGGTACTACAAAGTTGTGTTCTCTTCCCCTAGTACTATATACTTTTGGTTCCCAGCCTTGACAAACATGGCAGCAAGATGTTCTAGATACAACTTGTGAGCAATTTTACAAACATAATTTAACTTGAGTTGTTTTGCTCTGTCTTCAACATTTAGTATATCCAGTTGTTGTAATTCATCCTGGCCTACATGCTCTCTTAGACCAGGTCCAGGATGAATTTCACCATTTTGTTCTGGCTGATTTATAATCTATTAGTTTTTGATAAGGCAGAGTATCATGAAGAGCAAGAACGATCTATATGACATTGTACAAGAGGTAGACACTGTGCTTGTCTGTAGAGGAACTTCAGTTTGGCATTCACTTTCTTTACTACGCTGTTACCTATCAGTTCTCCTGACATGTTTGGGTCACAGGGGATTCCCAGGTGTTTCACCAGGGGAACGTTTCACTCTACAAAAAACGTGCCCCTGAACGAATCTGCTTGGACTTCCTACTCATTTCTTCAGCATTGCAAGCCCCTGATGATGTGTTGATTGCAACACGAAAGGCCTAGAGCTATCACTCAACTCCCCTGTGGTTGTTTAGCATGGTAACATATGTGTAAATTATCTAGGAAAAACGCAAAACGTCAAGGTGACTTATTTCCAGGGGGGCCCTTGTAAACTTGTTTTAAAGCCTAACGCAAATTACAGCAAAAATCATCTGATTATTCCCTTTTAAAATTTTTAAACAATCAAATACGTGGAAACACGAGTATAAACCATAATACTGCCACAGCTGACCGTAAGAACATCAGCCCCTGTGTGACCAGCCTGGGGGGGTTGCGTGTGTGACCCGGGGGCAGCGACCCAGACGACCAGGGTCGTGTCAACGTGCCACAACCTGGAACCCACTAGTTCAGGTTCTAAACAAGGCATTACTGCAAAATAAGAATATTTACAGTAACCCCCTAGCAAAGGCAAGACGGGGCGGGGGAGGCCCCCATTAGTCCATCACCCCCAAAGTAACTAAAAAAGGAAAAATAAACAAATCATTTAAATACAACCCTTTTTTATTGATTGCTTTTCTTTCACAAAAGGTTGTGTCAATCACAGAATAAAGATAATAAGTATATGTATGTGGGAAAGTCAGGGGGAGAATGTTTGGGAAGGTTGTATTTGAGACGACCTCCGCCCAATCGACCCATGCCCATCCTTCTAGGGTAGGGTAGGTCCCTGACCCGATTTGCAGCTCACAAGCCTGTCATTCCCTTGCACCGGGGGGGATGGCAGACCAGAGAGGCCTAGCTTCCCCTACTCCCCCCGTGAGGGGGGGGAATGGGGGGGCCGGGGGACATTTTGGTCTCTAAGATAGGGGTTATTTGTGCCTCCCCCATGGGAACTTAGGTCTCAGACACCCTAAAGGGAGTAAAGGGCCGGGCCCACCATTGAGAAGACCCGGGCCCGGGAGAATACCGGCAAAATTTTTAATAATAATAATAAAGCAACTCCTCACAATACCGTGACTGGAACAATACACAGAAAACCCCGCACATGGGAGGCGAAATTACGACGACTTTTCGGTCCGATTTGGCCATTTACAAAGTCACTTTGTGGATGGTCCGAGTTGACCGAACGGTCGTAAGCTCCTTTCCCTATATAGGTTGTTTGTGCGTGGCTTATATTTGCAGTCAGGTGAGTAAAGCAGGGGGAGGGGAGTCGCCATTGTAAATCCACTGTGTTATAGGTCGTGATGTCCCTGGAGTTTACCGGGAGAGATTTGGCGGGGAAAACGGTAAAACAATTTCCTGTAAAAGATACCGAAATTTAAAAGGGTACACTTTGCAATTTTTAACAAAACATCTTAGACTTTCCCCCGTGCCGACAAAACCTTTACAAAAAATCAAGTATGTCAAAGGCCCCCTAAAATCTGGAACACCATAGAACTCTGAATGCGACAATTCATCACCTTCAAAACTCCTTTAAAAACATCTTATCTCCTGATACACCCCGTCAACTAATACACGAAATCCCCCGGGGGGTTACACTTACACTCATCATCCATTTGAAAACCCTAAAAAGAACATTTTTCTCAATCTTTAAAAAAATGAATCCTGTGTACTCCAAAACTGAAACATGTACTTGCCAAAAAAAAGCATTCACATTTCAAACTCAAAATATATTTAGTCATTAGCCAAATACCAACTTACCCATAATTTTTTTAAAATTTTTAAAATTAAGAATTAAACTAAATCGCCCCAAATGCCTACCAGTAGGTGTTCTAGTGTACACTCTGTAATCATTATTTTACTACATGTAAACCACACAATAACCAAATTCTGTAAACTCAGCATTGTAATCCTTATAGAGAATAAACTTTGAATTGAATTGAATTGAACTGAATTTTGGGACTCTATAGATTGATGGAGTAAAACATCGACTCCGCTGAGGGGGTGATTTCCTCAAATCCCCCTTCTTCCACTGTTCTTCTCTGTATTGGACTGAAGAAGCCACTGGCTGGCGAAACGTTTCCTCAATAAAGTTTCCCAAATGTTGCACAGATGAGACCTGGTCATGGACCGGGCAGCGGGGGCGTTGACCCCTCGGAATGCCCTTCAGGTATAATCCAGATAAGTGTCTTATTCTTCAAGATGTCGGTGTTCTAAGCCGTTTAAATCACAAGTTTTTATTAAAAAAGTTACGTTACAACATAGCATTGATCTTACCTAGTTACCACACCTACGAGACCCCCGTAGTGGTCTTGGAGGCTGATCAGCCACGCTGGGGGGGCCCATGACAGGGGTCTGCAGTAGCGCCCACCTTTACGCCCAAAACAGAAACATCACCCCCTTTCACTTTCACTGCTTCACAGTTTTGTTAGAAGTGCAAAACATAATTAAATCACAAACGTGGCTTATCACAGTTTTCCCCGACTGCAGTCAAGTTCTGTGGGTTTCAGTCACCCTTCTGTGGTCAGTCACGTTCTGTGGTTTTCAGCCCAGTTCGTGGTTACAGTCACCGTTCTGTGGTTACAGTCAGAGTTCCTGGCTGCAACTTTTCCCTGCTGCAATCTTTGGCAGACCCACCCTTCTACGGCTTACCCCTCCACCCCCCTTTAAAAAATTTTAGTTCAAATTTTAACCATTAAGAAACGATCACGAATAAATGGTCGGTTGCCCCTGGCTAACCAGTGCTTCTGAATCCATTTATAAGAAAACCAATATGAAAAAAAAATACAGACAGGGGTTTTTACACAAAATATTCTTAAACAATATTCATCAGTTTTTCACAAAATTAAAAAAAAAAGCCAAAAAACTGTATTACTCCCGAATTCATGACACAAGAGGAGATAAAAAAAAGACCTGGAAAACACTTTCCCAGATTCTGGGGGCCCACAAACGAAAAAAAAAACAAGAAAATTGTCCTAATAAATCTAATGAAAAACCACGCTCCCACTGATACAGTAAAAAGATAAACACTTCTTCAACCAAGGATCAAACTCGCCAGTAAAAACCCACATACCAGTGCCCTGCGGGACTATCTAAAGGGAATTTTTCCCAAAATTTCTTTGTCTTGTCCAATGACCCACGGAAGTCACCGGATTTTAAAAGTTACCAAAAATAACTCAGGGAAATTTGTCCACTCCCACCATTATGTACAAGGAGGGCCCCTGTCCTTTTTCGGATTACATTACTTTTTAAAAGTCACTAGAAACTAGCACTTTCCCGACAAAAACTCAAGACAGCAAGGGTTACACCAATACATAAAGGAGGGGGACCCTACAGATGTAAACAACTATAGGCCAATATCAAACTTACCATTGCTATCCAAAATCTTCGAGAAACTCGTGCACATGAGACTATATTCATTTATAACGGCGCAAAACATACTCAACCCCTGCCAGTTTGGATTCAGGAAAAATAAAAGCACTAATGATGCAATTGTAAAAATGCTAGATCTGCTTTACACAGCATTGGAAAATAAGGAATATCCACTAGGAATTTTTATTGACCTAAGAAAAGCGTTTGACACAGTAGACCACGGCATCCTACTCCACAAACTTGACCATTATGGTATAAGAGGCCATGCGCTTGCATATTTCAAATCCTACCTTACTAATAGGTATCAGTATGTCACCATTAAAGACAGCCTCATCAACATGGCCACTTGATACTGGAGTTCCGCAGGGAAGTGTCCTTGGTCCCCTGCTCTTCCTCGTTTACATTAATGATCTTCCAAACGTATCCCAACACCTGAAATCCATTCTCTTTGCTGACGACACGACTTACGTCATCTCCCACCCTAATCTTGCCACCCTCAACACCATTGTCAACGAGGAGCTGCTCAAAATTCTGACTTGGATGACAGCCAATAAACTTACACTTAACACTGACAAAACCTACTACATTATGTTTGGTAGCAGAGCAGGTGTTGCGCAACTTAACATTAAGATCGACAACACTCTAATTGCCAGACATAATGAGG